CCACAGTGTTGTTGGCTTTCTAATCAAATACAGATTATTTCGTAATTATTTAATAAGGTATATTAGAGTTCATAATAATAATTCAATTAGAAGTAGAGTTTAAATTCGTAGAACGCACGAGAAGATAATTTATTTAAATAGTGTAAATGTAAGTGGTAGCGGCAACGATACTCCCGGTGGTGATGTACGACATGGTGGCGTTTTGTTGTGCAGGAGCGGCGTGCGGGCGGGGTGCGCGGGGCGCGGCGTCGGCTCGGGAGGCATGCCGGGCGGCGCGCTGGCGCTGCACTACGCGGCGGCGCGCGGCTGCCTCGACTGCGTGCGCCTGCTGGCCACCACCACGCCGGACGTCAAGTGAGTCTGCGCGTTCACAGTTATAGTTAGTTGCTAATAAAAGTTAACAGTTTCTTCAAATGATTGAACATAATACGTATTCTAGATTTGATAACAGTTGCATTAAGTACTTAAATTCCGACACGCGCCATTAGCGCGCGCAGTGGAGCGGCGGTGGCTGTGGGGGTGTGCTCAGTCAATGTTTTAGTTGTTGCGGCGCACCAGTTACTGCTATCCACGTTCTTCGCCGCTCGCCGCCTAAACAATAAAATTGAAAGAAAACGCAAGCCGAAGGCCTTCGGTTATATATTAGAGGAAATACAAATTAATAAAAAACCTTTATATAATTAATAACTTTTTTTATGTATAAGACTTACTTAGACGGTCATTCATTTTACATAAAATGTATTATACATATATAAATATATGTAGACGTTGAAACAAAATTATAATTTTCCACAAAGACGTCACACCACGACGACTTGTACAAACATTGTTATCGATTATTCATTGCAGCTTTGGTTCGAGGGGCAAAGATCGGATTCGGATAGTGTGATTTTTACCTTTAAAACATTAATAGAATAGTATTAGATACTGGGGGCGAAGGCGCAGGCTGCGCCTGCACAAGGCGCAAGTTCGGCCCCACATGGAATACTGCTCGCATCTCTGGGCGGGAGCACCCCAGTACCAGCTTCTTCCATTTGACCGCATACAACGGAGAGCGATTCGAATCGTCAACGACCGAGCTCTTACTGATCGGCTCGACACTCTGGTGCTGCGGAGGGACGTTAGTTCCCTCTGTATTTTCTACCGCATATACCACGGGGAGTGCTCTAAAGAATTGTTTGGAACGATCCCTGCCGCCCAGTTCCGTCATCGGATGACACGACAGACCGCCAGGTTCCATCCACACCATCTCGATGGCTGGCAATCCACAACCCTGAGGTTTGCGCGAAACTTCCTGCCTCGCACAGCAGCCTTGTAGAATGGTCTGTCCTCGGCGGTATTTCCAAACCGTTACGACTTAGGGTCCTTCAAGAAGCGAGCTTATCACCACCTAAAAGGCCGGCAACGCATCTGCGGTTCCTCTGGTATTGTTGATGTCCATGGGCGTCGTTGAACACCTCGGTGTTCCCGCTGCTCGTTTGCCCCCTTCTATTATAAAAAAAGGCGCAGGTATACACTCGCGCGGAGAAAGCGTTACAGAATTAATTGCGACGAGCGACGGCAAGCCGTGCTCGCGTCTGAACACATCGCATTCGCATCGTTGGCGCAGTTTTGGTTACATACTGTAAACGCAGATCCCTCGGGTGTTCTGCTCGCCGAAGCGGATTGCGCTTGCGCAGGTCGTACACAATAATTTGGAACACACTGTTTAATTATTCCTCATGACATCTTGGATTCGTAACTCACTAAAACAAGAGTTTTTGTTTTCATAACTGTACGAAATGTGTCGAAATTACTTTCAGCGACAAAATGATATATTTGAATCACTTCTCCGTTTAACATTTATGTAGATTGGATATAAATTGTGAAAAATATTTCCTTATAAATGATATAGGATTAAGGAATTTGTCGAAAGCTTCCGGAGAAATAATGTTAACAGAGCATTAACATCACGATTATTCAAATGACTTAGATGTAGGTCGCAGCCGGAGCGGAGCACACAGCGGCCGTCGACAGCGGACGATTATTGCCTCGATCAATCGGCCGGTGCTATCTTACGTCTCCAATAGTAATGTAGCACTGCGTATACTGAACATTGGTATCGTGGCAGCCGCGCAAGTCTCAGTACCGTCACTATACAATCCGTGCAGAGATACTTAAGTACTAGGTCCGCTCCTCTTATGACTGCGCCCATGGGCTTAATGACGTGCGGTCGAGCGCAGTCAGGCTCAGATGGCGACGCCGGCGCAGCGTTGGCGCACTCGGCTCAGTGCTTAGCGCGTGCGGCGGCGAATGGCCGCGAGTGCCTGAGCGCGCCTGCAACCTCGCGCCGACGATCGGCAAGCTTTTAGTTGAGTTATTTTAGCCCCCGCCACTTCTCGTGTCTCACTTGTTTAGGATTTAATTCGAAATTTGCTGTTATTGCGTTCATATTTTTAACCTAGTTTTCTTGTAAAGTTTAAAGTTTTTAAATAATAGTTCAATTTTGCGTATCTTTTGTTGGATCATGATGACGACGCTGCGATACAATAAATAGTTTTATTTCTTTAAGAATATCTATCTAAATAATAGTTATATCTTAATTCATGACGTAAATAATTTTGCATAGCACTATTCTAGAAGGACCACGCTACAATTACTTCAAAGATCATTTCTCTGTCAGACCGATGTGTGACACGATCTGATAGTACTCACTGACTTGGCAATCTTTCATTTATCGTTACTCATTTCATTTTAATTTTTAATTATTTGTTTAGAACAAAAGTTTCGTTTGGTATCGTATAGGTTTTGCATTCAGTACGAATGCTGCAGTGCGAGTAAAGTGGTAATACATATATTCATAATAAAACGAACAAGAAACACGTGTTATGTTTTAAAAACAATAACATAAGCAAGATGGCGACATGTCCGCGACGCGAGCGCCCTCTGCGCACCTTCTCCGCCCGTCTGAAGCATTGCAAGACCCTCCCGTCCGCTTTGGCGGCGTCGGCTGCCGCTGCAGCGAGCGTCGTCAGGTACGACAGTGCTGAAAACTCTTCGGAGTTCGCACGACGCTTAAACCTTTGCCTTCACAACACACAACAATACTGCTTAAATGCTTTCATTGGTTCTTTTACCTAATTTTAAATTGACTACACCTTAATACACTTAATAGAAGCAGCGTGTACTGCGGAGGCAGCTCGGTGGCCGGGCGGCCGCATTCCGCCGCTTGCCGCTTGCCACAGAGTAATTACGTGCCATCACATTCTGCTGTCGTACTGTTGCACCGCTCGTCTAAAGTGTGTCATAGCAATATAATAACTTTGCCGTTTCTTCGTCAAGAGAAAGAGATATGAGCACAGACAGATTACTTACAGTTAATATTTATATGGACATAATTTTCCGGTTGTGTAACTTCTTGTCTAACGCTAACTTTACAAACTCATTGTCTTAGTTGTGTTCAGTTGTGTTGAATCTTTGTATACATCTTAACAAGTTATACGACAATTGTGGCATTTTGTTGAACGAAATGTAAGAATATAGTTTTCTCCTTCAATTTCTACTCGTATATAAAATAATGATTCAGATTTTCTATTCGATTTAAAATAAAACGTTTACAAAAATTCATATCATCGCATTGATTTTAATACTTTTAGTGCTCTTTTGTTTTAATGATAACATAATGTTTATTTTGAGGTGAAATTTTTTATTGGAACTATTTATATTTTTACTTGAAAACATAACCGTAATATTATTTCCTTGCAACGGGTTTTGTGCGAATGGCCGTTGTTCAGGTGATGATAGTAGTGTGTCGCCGGAGGCTGTGCCTGCTACCGAGCTATTACAGATTAATTAAAGTTAGATAGCGTCAGTTGCGATGTTGTTTTGTTGCGCGTTCCGACCTACATGGCAGCACATCGTGCACTGTTCTGCACTCCACTTTCTGCATACATTAGCACGTACTGGGCTGAACACCGTACTTATCAGCCTCGCAACATAAACGACAATCATTTTGTATTTATCATGATTATGATGATAATGTTATTATATACTTAGAGGTCAAACAAATTAAATTGTTAAAATTATAAAATTTGTAAAGTTTGCAATGCTCTGCGGACAGAAGATCTTGCCGGCGTCAGTTATGCCGTGAGTGCCTTCAACATGGCGTCAACTTAATATACATTTTATAATCTTTGATTAAGCTCGCATTTTAAACATTGAAAACTAATCAAAACAAAACAAGTTTTATAATTTTATTAAGATGTTTCCTTTGATTGGTGAAAATACAAATCAATTGCGTTTTCTGTTTCTTTTTTTGACGTAATTCATTATCTTACAATGGATGGATTTCTTTCAGTGCCATCTAGTGTCGGATAGAAACGCTGGGAAAATACGCAAAGAAAAGCAACATGTAATTGTTGCGATGTTTTCTCTGAGCGCCTCGCCTCGCCTCGCCTCGCTTCGCCTCGCTCTGCACACATTGTGTCTTTAACATCTTCTAATCGCTCTTTAATTAATTGTCCTAATTCCCTATTTGTTATCAGCTTTGTAGCGTCCAGAGAAAGTGGGTTTATAAGAAATACCGGCGGCATTGATAGCTCGATACAATTATGTATGAATACAAGTATTAAAAATACATATCTATATATTATATTAGCATTGTCCACTTGTTTTGTTGTTGGACTTTTGCTATTATTTTAACATGAAGTCCAGCTAATCAAATATAAATTTACTAACACAGCAATTGAAGTTCCTTGAAACCCTTTATTATCATTTAGATCTGGCGCGGGATCTGATCTGGAGCGACAGCGGCGTACTCCGTGTCGCGAGTGTCGTGGCGCAAGTCATAGCTTATCATAAATATAAGTATGTAATAAAATAACTTTAACTATTAAAAAAGAAAAGGAATTGAATAGAAATTGTAATAAATGTGCGCGCTGTGTGCGCCGGCGGGAGACTTTCCCGCCCCGCTCCAAGCGCCGTCGTCGCGCGACTCACGCGCAGTGCTCCGAAGACGCGAGGCAGTTCCGCGCGCTTCACTCGTAACGGATTACCGTTTTTAATTATCGATTTTTGTCGTCACAATCAGTGTGTACTATGTTTTTTTTTTTAAATCGGCCGTCTTCGTACAATGACTCTCCTTTTGTTAAGCAAAATGTGTTCGTCATTTCTGCCCATCCCATCTTATATCTTCGCTCTGTCGTGTAGTTCTATGTGAAAGTTAGTTTTTAATTTCGGTTTCGAATGTTTTGAGTGACTTTCCACGATGACCTTGAGCAACATGGAGCGGTGCGCGCGCGGCACCAACAAACTTTTCGGAAAGAAGAGTAAGAAGAATAAGAGAAACCAGAAAGTTAAAGTGGCATCCTGCGCCGGCACCGGGCGGTAACGTTACTTTATTAAATTCTTAACCTGCTGCAAAAACTTTAGTATTATTTTATTATGATATGAGGATTTTTAAAAATTCATCCTACAAGGTAGGGACTGCATGTTGGTGTTGAAATTTTTAACCTCGTAAGAAGTTCGGACAAAAAATTCTAGAAAGTTGCTCGTAGAAATCTTTTGAAGGAACACATGGAGTACGGTAGCGGCGATGTGTCGGGTCGTGCGGCACGGGGGGCGCGGCGAAAAGCTAATGTTTTTCCTAAACAAACCTTACAAAAGATACGTTACGTTCGAATAACAATGGCTGAGTCCCGAAATTGGCTTTTTATTTGCGTATGATAATTATTTATTACGTGTGTTATCTATCTACTATCCGCCTCCACTCGACCCAGTTAACAACTTTCGTTACATTAACTTCCGATTACGAAAGTGTATTGCTCGAAGAACAATAACAACTCTTATCGACAACAAAAGAGTTTTGGAATTAAAACATTAAATACGGTATGTTATAGAGAGAGAGGCCGCCGCTTCTGATATTGCAAGTATATTTCGTAAGCTCGCATTAGCCAACTTGAACATATCATTGCATCTAGCTTAAGTTTAAGAAGATGAATTAAAAAAGCTGTAGACTACTTGATGTGTTGTGTACATTTGACACCATTGTAATTGGTACCGCTTGAGGCTGTACTTACTGGTGTTATAGCGACACCTGCCGTATTCTGAATGCAGCACATCGCTCGTCCTCTCTTGCTTCGACGGTTTCTTTTTAATGCAGGATTATCTTTATTGAACACCGAGATGAGGTCGAGTCTTAGCTCAAGTTCTAAAAATATCTAGTAGCAACTCCAACTGATATTTACATGAGGTAAAAGGGTGGCGATGTTGCATAGGGCGCGGCGGCGCCGGAGTACCGTCTGAGAGAGGATTCTTATAAAGAAAAATGTAATCGAGGAAGGCGATTATATAAAAACAGTAGTGCGATCACATAGCCTACTTTCTCTGAAAATTGGAAATATTATCATTATAAAATGAATATATTGCATTTTAAATCGTAAGGTAGTTAGGTTAGGATAGACGGAGTCAATGGAAGTTTGTTTGTCGGTTCACCTTGAGACCGTTAGCAGTGAGGTCACCGCGGCTGCAGGTCGCCGCGCCCGCACGACAGTGAAAACCATTCGAGAAAATAAAAGTGAAACGTGAGAGCGACCGCCACCCCCCCTCTCGCCCCCCGCACGATGCAGCGGAGACAAGTGGCGCGGTTCGGCTGCCGCTGCGATTGTGTAACCAAAGCGGGCGGGCGAGCGAAGACTCGCGCACTGTATTATCTCGAGCACTTGCTACAACTGTTAACATTTTATCAGGATATTATAATTAATCTTTATCTCTGTAACTGACCTATGCATGATATGCTATTTGTTTTGTTTACGCTAAAAGCAGATCATATGATGATTGGACCGCTACAGATTCTATTTTAATTTTCTTCTTCTTTTTCTCATAAGGAAGGGTGGAGCTTAAACATATGCTTTTTTTACTCATCTCCTCTACTGTGTTGTTAACTGTTCAATAATTATTGTTTTATTTTCACAAATACATATAATATAATAATAATAAATGAATAGCATTATTGCTGTGCCGGTTTCTAATTCTGCTCTGTGGTTGTTTTATCTAACTCTCTCTGAATCTCGAACTTTAAAATACAAAACATATTTACCGATCAATAAACGATCCATATCGCGACCTTTGTAAAACTGAATTTTAACATATAACTATATATATATTTATAACTATATATATATATATATATATATATATATATACCTAATACTACTATATAACTAATAACAACAATAACAAATTGTCGAATTTTCTTTTCCAAAAACACTATTAAATTTAATGTTTATGAATATGCAAGTAAGTAGCGGTCAATCAACGCAAAATATTATATAAACAATGATATTATCCTGTTGGCAAGAAGAAAGTATAAGTGTTGTATTGTGTTGTGTTGCAGCGCCAACACGGCGATGGATAACGACGTGACGCCGGTGTACCTGGCGGCACAGGAGGGACACCTGGCCGTGCTGCAGTACCTCGTCCTGGAGGCGGGCGGACGTCTGGATGCGCGCGCTCGCGACGGCATGCTGCCCGTGCACGCCGCCGCGCAAACAGGCTGCCTCGACTGCCTACAGTGGATGGTAAGCCTCACTCGTCTCGCCGCCTCACGGCTGCACAACTGAAGTAGTGCGCTACTGCTGTAGACCGCGCCGCTCTGCTCGTGCTGTGTGTCGGCAGCTTTATTCAAGCCGCGCCTCGTTTTCTCGCTGGCAAACGTATGGTGGAAAGTTATCGACCTTTGATGGGAGATATTTTCTCTTACGCAGTGGCAGTAGACTTGCATAAGACACGGCACGCCGCTAACGCGAGCTGCGCAGTGCAGTGCGCGGGATATGATCCGCACCAAATATACCCCCGTGTAATATTATAAAGTATTCGATATTGTCATATAGTCAGTGGAAACTTTACGACCGGAAACTTGTCTTAAAACAACTCTGCGCTATTAAGTTGTTATATTCATGATATGTTATAGTTGTGATACATACATAACACGTATGTAAAACTTTAAGTTTTCGCCAATTTCAATAATCACATGAATACATTTGAATATTTGAATGAAAATGCTCGCAATGAAATCCGCATTCTTATGTTATTTCAGTAACGTTTAATAATTGCAGAAACTCGTAAGCTCAATAAGAAGCTCAATACTGTAGTTACAGTTTACGTATTTAAGTAATATTTGTCCGGGTAGAGAGGACACGCACCAGTTCTTCTGTAATTCCTCACTAAGAAGTAAATTTGCTGTGAACGCGCATACGTCACGTGCTCACTACACACACACACACGCACACACACATCGCTCAGATGATCGCAATACTAAAGTACAGAAGTAGTTTTTGTATAACGATTGTAGAAAGTGAATATTTAATTTTGTTACACAATCATCATACACAGAAGAAGGTGAATTTCACTTTGTTCTGCTTTGACTTTGCATTTGTATATATAAACAACAATAGAATCCTCCTTGAAGAAGGTCCATGATGCGCTAGTGACCCGGTTACTGTAAACTTGAAATGTCCTCGGATAAAGTTAAAACTGAGCTCTATATACTATCAGTTTAGCTTAAAAAAAAAGTGTCATAAAAAATGTATTTTTTTTGAGTCAATTCCTGATTTTACTAATTTATTGCCAAGGTTTTAGTTATATTTTTTAATTAGGCCATTTTTTGAATCCTTTCGTAACGTTGGTACAGAAACATTTGGGTCTTCGGCTATTCTTTGTGCCGGCGGCCATCTTGAAATGATAGATATGATCTTGCGATATTTTTAGGATCGAGTACAAAAATATGTCATCCGCAAATCCAAGAGGATTTATGGATATAAAGTTAGAGGGACGCGCACCAATATCAATATTTAGAAGCAAACATTAAATGTGCGACAGAAACACGTAGTGCGTGTGGACGTGTATTTCACACGGAATCGCTTTAGAAATCGTCGCTGAGGAAGTTTCTGCGCGAACTATTCGAGTGCTTTATATACAAGCCGGTGTTTCTATTGAACCGGTCCATTAGAAACCGGCGCATTGTATACTTTTTGTCAACGTCGGCCGGAACAATGAACGTGACAATGCGAGCCCGCGAGGAGCCCGCCTGTCGCCTGTCACCTCCTATATGCTGAGGTTTTTTGAAATATTTTTTACTGGCTTCCCATCATATTCTTATTGTACACTACACCACCTATCAAAAAATTGCGATAAAATGTATTGAATAAAGAGGTGCGTGTTTTATGCAGATAACGGAGCGCGGGGTGGACCCGAACGCGCGCGACGGTGACGGCGCCACGCCGCTGCACTTCGCGGCGTCGCGCGGCCACCTCGCCACCGTGCGCTGGCTGCTGCGGCACGGCGCTCGCCTGCACCTCGACCGACACGGCAAGAGCCCCATCAACGACGCGGCCGACAACCACCACCTCGAGGTGAGTGATGGACATCGCCTCGCGGTGCCGCGCGGTGCCTTCGCGCCGATCTCATCACTTTACTTACTTATCTGTTACACCTCCGTGAATTCTAACAAAGGACATGGTGCGTAAATTATATGTTCCAAGCGCGTTGCTCAATTGCTTGAACCGCTTTCTAATCGCTCTTAGTCGGACAAGAAGAAAGAAAAAGAAGTATAAGAAACATATTATTTAAATGAAAAATGTTTGGCAGCTGCGAGTACTCCCGGCATGAGATGTTCATATGTCTTGTACATAGTGGTCAGAAGCTAACGTAATATGTACGACCTTGAGCTCTACGCTGAATGCATAACTATGATGTAAATACATATAACACAAAGCATGTTCTGAACAAAACGAAAGTCATTGTATAAATTCTCACGGACAACAATAAGCGGAAGGGATCCGCTGGTGTCTCGCACGCCACGCACGCCACGCACGGCGGGCGCGACACTCAGCGGGCGCGCGGCGCGGCCAGACGAATTTATTTGTTATTCTTCGTTTGGCAGTGCTTGAACGTGCTGGTGGCGGCGGGCGCGGCGGGCGCGGCGGGTGCGGGGGGCGCCAAGGCCGGGCCCGGGGCGCCGCAAGTCTGCGCCTGCTCCCCCGGGGACGCCAGAGTAAGTTTCATTGAATTTGTCGCAGTAGTTATTTATTTTTATTCACTAACTAGCCTTCGTCGTCGCGTTGTTTGTTTTACGATTAATTATTGTCTTCGAAATAAAAATAATATGGATTTTTTTTTCAGTGCGCTCTGTCAAATTGCGTGAACGGCGACGGGCACCGGTCGCCCTTCTACCTTCACGGGCCGGGCGGGCTCGCCTCGCCCGCCAGCTCGGGACGGTCCGACTCGCCTGGCAGCCCGGCCGGCTCGCCCGCGGACGGACTCTACATCAACCCCATGCAGCGCGCACGCGCCGGCACCGGCCGCCGCGCCTCTTCCGGGGACGACAGCTCAGGTTTGACATCTCCCCCCCCCCCATAATGTAATAGAGTACGTAGACCGAGATATGTAATATGTATATATATGTATGTCAACTTTTTTACCCGATCCTGAGGACTTTATTGCGTTGACTTTCATTATGCTCACTTATATGACATGGTGACGGCAGCCGGCTCGACTTCGGACGCGGAGGCAGCGCATCACGGGGGCGGGGGCGGGGGCTGGTTTCTACATGCCGGGGCCGGGACCGGGGCCGGGGGCGAGGCGGCAGGCGGGGCGCTGTACCAGCGCGTGCGGGACCTCTTCCACGCACGCTCGCCGGGTCCGCGCGTGCCCGCCGAGGGTCAAGAGGCGCCCACCGTGACCGGTCAGTGAAATGTTCTCACTTACAAGGGCAAGGTCGAGATCGGCCCGGACAGAGTTAATCTCTTCGGGATGTCGTCGAGAGGTCGACGCATTTACCTACGCTTGTAGTATTACGAGCTGGTGTATCAAATAAGTGACTTTGCAGTGAAAGCGGAGGTGCACGGCGGGGGGCGCGGCGAGGGGCGCGGCGGAGGGCGCTGCGGGGGGCGCGGTGGAGGGTGCGGCGGCGGGCAGTCGGACAGCGACAGCGGCGCGGAGACGACCCGGCGGGATCACCACTACGAGGACGTGTGCCCGCCCCGTGAGCGCCGCCGCAGGTCGGGCTCACCAGCACGCCGCACACACCCCAAACCATTCATACACTCCATACAACACACACCGCAAACATCTCACTCACCCGTTTTGAACCTACATAAGTGTATTGGGTGTAGTTAATAGTAATAGTGTACTTAATTCTAGATGAATAGTTCGTCAGACGGTCATAACCTAAAATTTATTCAAACCGAATTGTCTTTGCTGGACACGAGGGTGGTATCGCGACATTTAGTTTGGTTGTGTGTTGCGTCAGGAGCAGGTCCCGCGACTCGGGCAGCCACAGCCGGCCCGCCAGCGCCGCGCGCCCCGACCGCACCGCATTAGCCGCACTCGCCGCACTCGCCGCCGCGGACTGCGCTGACGACAGGTCAGACCGCACACCCCATGCACCTCGCACACGT